AGATAGATAGATAGATAGATAGATAGATAGATAGATAGATAGATAGATTCAAAGCATCAAATAGCATCTAGTTCATGTACACAAAAATATGTAATAAGGAAGGCCCTCAAGGGATGGAGAGATGACTCAGTGGTTAATAACACTGGTTTCTCTTCCAGACGTCCTGAGTTCAATTCCCAGCAACCACATGGTGGCTCACGGCCATCTGTAAAGGGATCTGATGCCCTTTTCTGGTGTGTCTGAAGACAGCCATAGTATACTCATATTCATAAAATAAATAAATCTTTAAAAAAAAGAAAGAGAAAAGAAAAGAAAGAAAAACCCTCAAAGAAAAGAATCAAAACGGGTGAAATGGCCTTCCACAGTACCTTTAAGAAGTTCCACTATCTTAAAGGGAGGAAGGGAGGGGACAAGGAAGGGAAGGAGGGAAGAAAACGGGAGGAAAGGAAGAAAGGAGGGATCAAGGGAGGGAAAGAAGGAAGCCTGTGAGTACAGATTGAAAAACAGAAAGATTTGAGAAAGCTGATAGTATTCTCCATTTCTCCCACGTCACCCTCTTCAGTTTTATGGCTTAGAATAATAGGCCATTAAAACGTGACCACAGTTGTTTGTCTACTATCCCAATGCAAATTAATGCCAATACATTTCCTGTCAAAAGAAATAACAGTAAATACAGCTATTCACATTTCTCACAAAGGACCTTCTAGAGTAAAAAATTCACTGTGGTAACATGAGTATATTTCTTAGAGAATATGATTGTGACTAAACATTTTGTTTGAAATGAAAAGAGAATATCCATTTAAATATTTTATATGTACATTTTATTTGAATATGCAGATTGCTTTTTTTCTGTGGTTGAATGCCAGTTTGTTTGGCTCCTTGTATATTTCTTTGGATTGGAGAATTTTATATGATTGGGGCTGGAGAGATGGCTCAGCAGTTCAGAGCACTGGCTGCTCTTCCAGACAACCCAGAGTTCAGTTCCCAGAACCATATGGTCACTTACAACCATCTGTAGAGTCAGTCCTAGGGGACCCACTGCCATCCTCTTGGCTCCACCAACATTGCACACATGTGGTATAAGATATCTACACAGGCAAGACATACATGCAGGCAAAACACTCTACACATAAAATATTAAAAAATGAAGTATTATAAAAAATAATTCTCAAGTAGTTGCCAAAGCTATTTTTCACCAAAGCAATGATCTGTCAGTATCCAACAGTGTCTTGTTCTAACTGCTGGATTTATTGTTGTTGCTTTGTATGTGTGATGTATACGTGCATGTACACATGTGTAGGTGCACACACTTGTGTGTGAGCATCGAGGCCAGAGGTTGACATGAGTTCTCTATTACTCCCCACTCTATTTTATTTTGTTTTATCTTTTGAGACAGGGTCTTTCTTAGAGCCAGTCACCTGCCTGTCTTTTCTTCCCTAGAGCTGAGATTAAAGGTGTGTGCCATCCGCCACGCTTAGTTTTTCCATGGGTGCTGGCATCCTGATGCAGGTCACCTTGATCCCACAGCAAGCACTTTCCCCACTGGTCCACCTCCCCAGATCCGGTTTTGAGGATTTTACATTTGCATCTGTTTGTCTTACTTTATCTTGTTTTCATTCCAGAGATCGACAATACCTGACAGCCTGCATGTCCAAATTTCCAACTTCCATGTAGATCTGAAGCCGCAGACATGGGATAGCCAATGCTACTGACCCCTATATCAGTGAAAGCCAGATTAATAATCACGGCATTCGTGGGTGTCCGCAGTTCCTTGTACTTAATGAAGATGCCCAGGACTATTATGTTGCTGAGAATGCTTATGATACCTAAGGATACACACAAAAGGATCATGCATGTTGCTTAACTTGAATGTTTAGAATAGAATAAAAATTAAATGTTGAAGTTGCTTCAAAAGACAGCAAACCCAGCAAAACCAGTCTCTTGGTTGAAGAGGTCCCATTCTTCTTAGAACTATAACACCTTCTGGAAAACAGAAATGAAATTAAAACACAAAGAACCTGCTGATTGCAGAAGCCAGCACTGAAGGCTGGCTTCAACAACATCTATACATCTCTATAAATCTCCCTGTAGCTTTCATGACGTTGTTAGGGTTTCTATTGCTGTGACAACACCATGACCAAAATGCCAGTTGGGGATGAAAGGGTTTTTTTTTGGCTTCCACTTCTACATTCCTGTTCATTATTGAAGGAAGTTAGGACAGGAATTCAAACAGGGCAGATCCTGGAGGCAGGAGCTGATGCAGAGGCCACTGAAGGATGCTAGTTACTGGCTTGCTTCCCATGGCGTTCTCTAAAGCCTAGTTTTGTTTTGTTTATAGAACGCAGGACCACCAGCTGAGGGATGGCACCACCCGCCATGGGCTGGGCCATCGCCCATCGAACACTAATTGAGGACCTCATGGAGGTATTTCCTCAACTGAATCCCCTTCCTCGATGATGACTCTGTGTCAAGCAGACACAGACAACCAGCCAGTACTCCATCCTAACAGCACTTCTGGCACATTTCATATCTTTTATTTGGTTCAATATCATTTAGCACATTAAGCATGTAGTGATCATGTGACTATCCCAGTAATTCTTGAAATTCAACATGTCAAAATTGAATTGCTTCATTCAACACACACATGCATACATGCATGCACATGCTGTTTTTGTCTGTCTCTGTCTCTGTGTGTGTGTCTAGGAAAATGCATATTGCAATATTTGACCATCTAAACAGGTTGAGCCAGATTTCTGGTTCATTGGGGAACCACAGGTGATACTATTCTCAGCCTTGGAATCAAGAACTCGGCGTGTTCAGTGTCCCACAGTTGGCCAGACGCAGACAGCTTTTTAGTTTCAGGACTAAAGTTTCTAACCAGCAGGTTCGTGTGGCCACTGACAGTAAGAATTATTATTGAGTACACTGGGTACAAATGTTAGCCGGATCAACATTTCCTACAGACTGAAAGGCTGCATATGTTTTCCATGGACCAGATATAGGTCATCCTCAGGTCGGTGGAGGCCGTTGTGAAAAATGAATTTTAATGGAGAAGCTAGAATTATTACTGGACTTCTCTCTAGAAGGAATGCTATGTAACAAACAAGAGAATTGTGCTTCTCATGAAATTTAATGAGCATAAAGAACTATTTTTGATAACAAATACATCAAGTTGCAAATCTTTGTTTGTTTGTTTTGTTTGTTTTTTCGAGACAGGGTTTCTCTGTGTAGCCCTGGCTGTCCTGAAACTCACTCTGTAGACCAGGCTGGCCTGGAACTCAGAAATCCGCCTGCCTCTGCCTCCCAAGTGCTGGGATTAAAGGCATGCGCCACCACTGCCCGGCTTCAAGTTGCAAATCTTGACTTCCTATTTTTCCCACTTGAAACACCTCATGCTGTTTTCTGTATATTCAAATGCTAGCCATCCTTCAAAGGTCAGGCCAAGTCCAATTTAGCCCTGAAGTGGCCTCCTACCCACAGGATTCTCTATTATTCTGCCTGCGTTCCCAAAGTACTGACTGATATTATCTTGTTCTTGAGCGCCACCAAGTCAGTCAGCTCTTATGTTGTCCCAGCCTTACACATCGTAGGCTCTCAATAAACCCCTTCTTGAGTGCATGCTACACAGCAAGTTCTATAAAATGGAATGCTACTAAAACCCCAGTCAGCGCAATTTCTATTATCCCTTAAAGCACAGTGATGTCAAATTTGATAAGCCTTTGGATCTTCTTAGTAAATGTACAAGAAATATCATGTGGGAAGGTAAGAAGAAAAAAAAACTTACAACCTGAAGATTCAAGAAGGGTTAACTATGGCACATAAATCGTGGCCTAGCAAGCACATAGCCACAGTGAATTAAGTACATTTTGGAGGCATCTACAATATAAGGTAGGTACTTTACAATAATTTATTCCTTTTCCCCGTTCTCTCTAGCTGCTTTAAGCACTGAGTTAGTTCCCTGGTTATAGGTACTCTCCAATGGGTAGACAGTAGATCCACCAGTCTAAACCCTAAGTAGTCCTACCCTCCCCCCTCATTTGGAAGCACCCCCTCCATGCCACCCTGTTCCTGTAGCCCCCTTCCATCTCTTCTTGGTCTACTTGAAAACCTTTCTTCAATACTGCCATATTAAATGTATGTTTTCCAACTCTCTGTCCTAGACTCGTTTCTTTCCCAGTTCTGCATTCTGAATGGTTTCATTGCATCTGAGGTTGATATTGTAAGACTCAAGGCCCCGCGTGCAGCTGAACTCAAGACATCGCCTCTCATCTCAAACTTGCTCTTCTCCAGTGTGTCGATACCTCAGTGAACTGCATCATTGACAGGTGGCATTCCCTACCTCACCTCACTCCTGAAAGTCAGTCAATGCTCCCTCTTCTTGGACTTCAGCTCACTGCAGTGGCCTACTTGAACGGCCTCTTAGCTACCATCACAACACATTTCTGAAATGCAAATCAGATCATAAAGTCCCTATTTAACCTTTCAGTGACTCCCAGTAGCATTCCAGCCTCTGTGGTCCATCAGTGCTTGATACTCGGTCATCTTTTTCAGCCAACCTCTCACAATCTTACAATTCGCCAGTGATGAATTCTTTCAAGTCCACACATGTATCATGCTCTTCCTCCTCAGCTGTAAGTGGTACAGAGAGCGTACTCAAGCACTGAATTAACAAAGTGTCTGCAGCAATGGAAGCTGGCAAAAGTGAGCTCAAATCCAAATGAAAGATTAAAATAAAAATTAAGTCTTACCGGGTACAGAGATGGCTCAGTGGTTGGGAGCACTTGATACCTTTCTAGAAGACCTGAATTCTGTTCCTAGCACCTGTGTGGGACAGCTCATAACCTCCTGTAACTGCAGGTCCCAGAAGAGGGACCCAACACCCTCTTCTGGCCTCTGTAGACATGCCTGTGGCAGTCACTCACAAAGACACACACAGACACGTAAGTCAAAACCGATTAAATTACAGCAAAGCCAGGCGGGGTGGCAAAATGCCTGTAATCCCAACACTCAGAAGGCAGAATCAGGAAGATGCTGAGTACAAGGCCAACCTTGGCTACATAGATAGTTCTAGCCTAGTATACACAATATGGCAAGCTCCTGGTTCAAAAACTTAATTAATTAAATACATATATAAAATAAACAAGCTCTATAGTAAAAAACAAAAAGTATATAATAAACATAGGCCTGTGGTAAAAATGGTAAGTGGAACGATACTTAAGTACACCCTTTTCCTCAAAGTGTTCATTCTTATTCGGGAGCTCAAGTATTTTTTTGCTGAAGGAGGAAACTGAGGGAACTGAAGGATAGGAAGAACTCAAGATACTCGACACACACAGAACAAAAGCACAAAGAACGAAGATCCGCTTCCTTCAGGTCCTCTACAAAAACTCACGCAAAGACTGCATGCTCTGACGTTTGCTAATACAACAGACCTGTGCACTCACAGAACAGAGCTAACAAAAGGCCTCTGTTCCGAGCCAAGCAGCCTCAGAAGCCTGTGTTTGGAACATTTCTTAAGCTCTTCATCTGTATGAATTAGGGAAACAAACTAAAATGCAGCTATAACATTTCCTTAGGGAATTTCCTTCCCATACTAATCTCGTGACCAGTTTTGTTTGTTTGTTTGTTGTTGTTGTTTTGGTGTTTGTTTTGTGAGCCCAGGTGACTCTGGAATCCTCAACAATTCTGCTCCAGCCTTCAAAATGTCAGATCAATGTTGGATTTCCCTTGTCACATACATTTAAGGGAACCAAAACTTGTATACAGTGTCTCCACGTAATTCTGGAAATGTGGGCTCAGGTTTTTGCCTCTTACCACCCAGAAGTATTCAAATGAACTAGTTACTGTACCACTAAAATTAAAAGGAAATTGTTATATAGTGCAAGTCAACTATGAGGTAAAAACTACAAAGTTGTGAAGATACATGGAGATATATTTCTCACTCTGGTTTTAGAAACACGCTTGAATTTTTCATAAATGACAATCCAAAAAGCAATGAACCCAAGGTAACAGTTACTAAAACTCTTCTGTGAAGTTTGAGATCAAGCAATTGCTGGTTATAAAAGCCAGGCCAGCCACTGGTTACAGTTGTTGTCACTTTTTCTCACCCCCCTTTCTACAAACAAGCCTTTATTTCAATCTGATAATGGTATCAACACGGCATAGCTACTCAACATCCACCCACGTTCCTTAAAGGCCTTGATGTCATTTACTATACTCTTCATAAGGAGCACGGTGGATCCCTGATTCCTAGCTTCATTTTACAAAGGAGACCGTGGAAGAGTAAAAAGCTGAAATGCCTTGTGCCCACTTTCAAAGATAGAAAAGATGGCCCCTGTAGCTGCTGCCTCCCATGGCTGCCTGCCAGAGGAGCTGAATTTACACACCTTATCTGGAGCCTCTCTTCTGTTTCAAACTTCAGCGTCTCCTCTAGTACCTTTAACTCTTGAGCTAGATCCTAACCAAGAAGAAAACTATGCAAATTATACATGAGAGTCGTAAATGATAGAAAGCATGTTCTTACCACAATGCACACTCTGCTCATGGATTTAATGTAAAAACCAAACATACAATTTTTATTTTAAAGCTTCATTTTATATAAAGCTTTTCTTGCTCCTTTGCTCAAAAACCTTCTGTCAAGAAGCAGCATACTCTTCTGTGTCCATTTTCTGTTTGTTACAACCCCACCCATTTATGAGCTAGCCCACACTGCACCCTTGTGCCCAATACCTCAGCTCTTCTCCCACCCGAGAGGCAGGTCACTGAATAAACACCCGTACCTGCCACAATCAGGTAAGCGGCGATGACGCTGTGCTCGGTCTTCGAAAAGACAGACCCTTCACTCCTAGAGCCTGAACTGTTAAAATCTGAAGCGTCACTCAGCATTTTGGAAAGTCAAGACCACCGTTGCAGCAGCCTTTGGCAACGGTGATCTGTCAGGAATGTTCTTTCAGGACAAATCATTTCCACTTCTAGACCTCAAAGAAAGGCCTTTTCACAGAGGCCATCCATTAATAATTGGGCTAAAGAGGAAAAGATTTTAATTCCTAGAATGAGAGAAAAATCTCCTTAGTAAAACAAAGAGAAATTCCAACCACCACAGCACATTAAGCACTTAAAGGAGATTACCACGCAAACACATCCTATTCAAATAACCAAAATCCACAAACAAACCCAACTCAGAAAAGCAGTTCAGGAGCTGAATTCATTTCAGCCTGAAATAAACTCTATTCCATTATCTTCTGTAGCTACTCAGGTGAGGGACTGTATTTTTGTACTAGAGACAGAACTGCTACACACTGGTTCTCATCTGAGGTCTGTGTGTGTGTGTGCGCGCACACGCGCACGCACACAAGTGCACATGTATGTTTTCCTTAACAATCAGAATATACTATCAACTCCCATACTTGTAAATCTCTCTCGATGAATGACACCAATATTGCCTGGGCTAAGAGTTTGAGGTTCTTGTCACTTCTTTCTTTTCAAACAAAAATGAGGTTACCTACTATGTGTAACCAATATGTCTGTCTGTATGTAAAACACACACGGCATAGCTTGTTCCCCCTAAATACCGTCCCATCAAATCCAGTTTAAGTGTAATAGCTAAGCGTTAAGTGTTCTACAGCATAGATACACCATGCTCTATGCCACCTTGGTTTCTCCTGCATTTGACATGCCTGAATTCACGTTAGTCAACCACTCAGTTTATTTAGTACAGGATAATCCTATTATATTGTCCTAATAGTCTATATTGTCATGTAAAAACCTAGCATGAACGTGCAGTGTTAGGATAAAGAGGAACCTGGACTGCTTTTTAACATTATAATTTTTCAAGTTTAGACAGTAAAGCTTTAAAGCAAGGCTGTCACAAACTCAGTGTAGTGTAACAGAACCACTAGAGGGCGCACTGCTCACCACAGAGGCTTCCTTCCCTACTTGCAAAGTTCTCAGTCTATCAAACAGGTTGGCCTAGCTAACAAAGAATATGAATACCTTATTTAAAAAAAAAAAACTTATGCCAGGAATGTGAATCTATCATGTAAATCTCAGTACCTCAAAGTTTGGGTAGTGAGGGCAATTTGAATTTAATTAGAACTGGAATCTTTGAGACACAGAAATGCTTAACAACTAGTGTATGTAAAGTAAAAAGGGAAACCACTCTATATAATCCTAGCAGCAGAGGCCAGCCTTGGCTACACAGAATCTGAGGTCAGTCTGGGATATAAATTCCTGTCTCAAACAATCTAGTTTTTAAAAAGTGTGCAATCTCCAGGTGGTCTATATACTGACTTCTACAACCCGTTCACCTCTGCCATTTTAACAACTCTTAGTAATGTTGGACTGGTCCTTGGTGCAAATGTCCTCCCCAATGGGCCCCTCAGGCTCACGTTTGAACACTTGGTCCCTAGTAGTGGACCGGTTGGCAAGGACTGGAGGTGTGTCTTGTTGGAGAGTGTCACTGAGTTACCTTCGGGGACCATTTCCACCTGCAGACTGAGATGTGAACTCTCACCTCTTCTGGTCACCATGCCTTTGCTTTGGCCTTCATATTACAGCACTGACTCCATTAACCAAAGCGGGAGAACTCAGGCACTGGCACAGTTATATGCTACTAAAACAAGCACTTAAGAGCAAGTCACTCCTCCACAGTAGATGTCCATGAGAAGTAAACAATGAAGGAGAAACAATGCCAGCTGGCACACAGCTCCGTGTTAAGATGGTCGTGCTTAATTCTTGACAGCAACGGAGACCAAGGCAATTTCATCTATGACATGCCTACCCAGGAACTGGAACATGTGACAGGTACTCAAGTGTTTACTTAAAGAAGACATGTCAGTCTTTCATGTAAAAACATTTTTCAGAAAACTTTTAATAACCCACATTTAAATTTCTACCTCTAAATTTCTTGAACTATAGTTTTCACATAGCAGAGCCACTCAAATCTTAATGGACTCAGAATAAAAAATTTTAAATAATTATTAACTGAAATAGCTTTACTCTGTGTATTATAAAACACAAAAGTGAAATATATAGCAAACGTAGCGTTCCGGCCCTATCCAAAAGGCGGAGGTCATACCAAGTGAGTCTAAAGCACTGTTCCAGCAGCCTGACTTCGTTGGAGGGGGGACACTTTTGTTTGAGTGTATTTGGTGCTTCTTAGGATCCTTGTATATTTTAAACAAATTTCACCCCACCCTACTCTTTTCTATCTGTAACCCAGATAGAAACCTTTACTCTTTCTTTCAATAATCAAAATAGGCTCAGTTCAATAAACATAAGTTAAGGAAATAAAAAATTTTATTTAAAAAATACAAATATGCTTCAAGTGAAAAGTCCTGTCGTTCTTTGAGCACCCCCCAGAGTGCCAGGTTCTGTACAAAGCAGGGTTTCTCCTCTTTCTGAGCAAACTTGACTGTCTTGCTCTTCTTGTTTCTATGCGATGGTGCCGACTCAGCTCCACTGACAGAATGGTATCCTCAGACTGCTCCAGACACAGACTTCAACCAGCAGGCCACGTAGTGGAGATGGAAGTGGTCAGGTCTGCCAACTGGACATTTAATGTCCCCTTCCTGACAAAAAATAAAAAATAAGAGGGTTTGCAATAGTGCTAGTATCCAAATCTAAACTTTAAAATCAGCAGGAATTCCTATGATGCTGGGTAAATTTACACTACCAAACACAATTGCCATTCATATTATGCATTTTTTTTCAAATAACTACTACAACAAAGTAATTTGGTGAAAAATTAAGAGATAGCAATAAAGAATTATGTAGTAAAAAGCCATAAATTAAGCCAGGAACATTGGTGTTCTCCATACTTGTTGGTGGAGGGAAATAAACCAACAGACAAGATCAATCTACAATCCCAGTTGTTTAAAGACATCTCTGGTCATACTCACCTCGGAATCCGCCACCTCCTCTTCCTCCTCTGAAGCCCCCACCGCCTCCTCTTCCACCTCTAAAACCACCTTAAAAGGGAAATAGTTGTTAATTATAGCCTCTCATCTTTTGATAAACTGTAAAGACTGTACAATTCCTACAATCATAAAAACTAAACATAAATTCATCTATTGTATTTTACAAAACCTTTTAAAGGATAAAAATAGAGAATTCACAATTTCCCCAGTGGGGAGTAAGGTAAACTAAGACTAGTCCCTTTTCTGTTTTTCACATTTATTTTCCATGTGTGTGCATGTGTCACAGCGTGCACATGAAGATCACTGCATACACAACTTGTTGAAGAAACTAAAAGAATACACTTGCATATTAAGTACATATAATCAAATTACTCATTGATAGCTAAAAACTACAATTTAGTTTAAAAGAATTCTTGCCAGGCAGTGGTGGCGCACACCTTTAATTCCAGAGCTGGCAAGGTAGAGGCAGAGGGATCTCTGTGAGGTTGAGGCCAGCCTGGTCTACAGAGAGAGAGAGTTCCAGTACATCCAGATACACAGAGAAACCCTGTTTTGAAAAACTAAAAGTCATATAACAAATGGTGAAATGTCATGCGTAAGAAGAAAGACGTCAAGTCTCCTACACTAATGGGAAATTCTACCATATCCCACAATCCCACATTAGAGACAGACATTACTCACACGTGCATGGCAATCTGGAGCATAGAAACCTAGTCATACAGAAGTGCAGCACATACTGTTATGTACAGCACACAATGCCCCACAACAGTTAAAAACTGTTTGCAGCTTGTGTATTTACTTCCATTTCCTTTACACTGTGACTTTACAGTGCATCCTCATCAAAAGGAGTGTACCTAGAGCAGTCTGTCCCATCTCACCAGACCAGCCTCTATCTTACTACTCTACCGCACCAAGAGGCTACAGGGAGGGACGATGCTCTCATGAGGGTTTGTGTAATGTGCATGACGGAAGTGGCCAACATTGCATTTCTCAGAATCGATCTGTCATTAAGCAATGGGTGAGGGCACTCTTATTAAAAATCTCCATTAAAACATGAATAACCCAAGGGTCTGAAATCTTTTAACCTAATTTCCCCTTCTATTTAAGCTGTATGCATACTGGTATATGAGAGAGAAATAAAAGGTAAGGAAAATTTGGTTACATGCAAAATTAAGCTGCATTGCATAAATCAACTGTGGCTACAAAATCTCATTAAAATCCCCCACAATAACTTACCACCTCTTCCACCACCTCGGCCACCGCCTCCTCTTCCTCCTCCTCGACCTCCCCTGCCACCACCGCCACCTCTGGGAGGTCCTTTCTCGCCAGGAGGACGAGGCAGAAACCTCTGCAGTGGCAGCAGCTTATACGGGTCTATATAAAACTGCAAGTTGAATGGTAGCCGTTAGTATGCCAGGGGCAGTATGCTACAGGTGAAACTACCTAGGTTCAAATCCCACTCCATGTGTTTATAGCTCTGGACAAGGACTTATTTTTTTTACCTCTAATTATTAGGTTTTCTTATATACAGAAATGTAGACAAAAGTACCTGTCAAAGTTCTGTGAAGATCAAAAGACACATAAGTCAGTGCTGTAGATTGCACATAAACATAAAAATAAGGCCAATTCAATTTCATTTTTTAAGAAAAATGTCTCTAAAGATTTACATTTTCTTTTAAGAGAGCTGCCAAGAGAAATTTATCAGAATTATAGTACAATTAGGAAGATTTTGGTAAATTAGCTATTTTAAGAAAGTATTCCGGGCTGGAGAGATGGCTCAGTGGTTAAGAGCACTGACTGCTCTTCCAGAGGTCCTGAGTTCAAATCCCAGCAACCACATGGTGGCTCACAACCATCGGTAATGAGATTGGATGCCCTCTTCTGGTGTGTCTGAAGACAGCGATCGTGTACTCATAAATAAAATAAATAAATAAATCTTTAAAAAAAAAAAAAAAAAAATAAAAAAAAAAAGTATTCCATTAGTTTTTCTAGCAAACAAACAGTGGTCACTTGCCATTAGCAGTTATCACCTCCATCTAATTTCCTGTTCCAGTCTGGCTCCTGGGACACCATTCCATCAGCTGACTGACTACCCTGTTCCTGAATTCACTGAGTAGTATGTGCAATGGTCACAGCCAGGCAGCACTCCTCTGGAAACTAGTCAACTTCTGTGTCCCTATTTGTACGGCATGCTTGTGGTGAGCAGCCATCTTTACTGTGACACACACTGTGTCAGTAGTGTAAATCTTAGACGAGGCCTGACGCACTCATGAGTGCTGCACTGCTTCCAATCTCTAACCTATACCCACCCTGTGAACGCCTGATCTTCTGACTACCTTAAGTACCTTAAACTCACTGTATCCCAAAAGAAGTTGTCTTCCCTCAGCCTCTGTTCTCCACTGCTGTGTAAGTCAGTGAGTGGGACCCTAAGCCACACAGATGCTGAACTCAAACACCTAGACATTAGTCCCCATGCCCTACTGAGGCTCTTGCTATTCTGGTCACAACTCCACCTCTCCTCCTTTCCCACAGACTCCACTCTTGCCCCACAGCATCTACAGCTCCTTAGCGCCCGCACTGCTGGTCTTTCCTAGAGGGCTTTTCTGTCTCTCCAGTGTTCTTTTAAAGGACAAATGTAAAGATCAAGCTCACCCTATTATTGAGAAACAATGTTAAAGCTACAATCTAGTCTTTCTCAGGACGTAAAAAGCTCCTTCCCACCTCGGCAGCCTCTTTGGAATCCAGAACTTTCCCTACCCCAGCACTGCGGACACTTAGCAGTTTTCTCTATGTGGAATACACTTCCCACTCTGTGGCTAGCCCAGTAGTTGCCTAAGGACATTAAAATTCTCCAGCTTTCTTTCCTGAAACTGCATTGTGAGTCCTACTTAAGGGCAACTGGGTCAAATTTAAGACCGGGATCTTAAAGGTCATCTTAAGAGCTGTCTTCAGGTATCTGTGAACACCGGTGTAAAATCTTTCCTGGTTAACTCTTAGCTTTCAGTTTCAAAAGCACCACCTCAAGGAAGGCTAAGACTAAATCTGTACTGCAGAGTTTCATGGGAATCTTTTATTTCATATTTAAACAGTATATACCATGTTAAGGGAGTATCTGTGAAAACCTTTAGTATCTATCTACATATGCCAAGTGTCTCAATTCACCATGTAGCCTAAGCCAGACTCTGCCTCCAAGTGCTGGGACTACTGGCTTATGCACCATGCCTGGCTATCATCACTTTTGAAGTCTGGTAAGCTTACACTGAGTTTGACAGCACACATTGTAACTGCAGGACTTAGGAGGTAGAGGCAGGAAGATCACATCAAGTCAGAAGGCAAAGTAATCAACAAGTGAGTTCTGGGCCAGCGAGGGCTACAGCAGAGGCACTTAGGGACATAAGCTCGATGTCTGGGTCACTACTGTGAAGCACCAGCACCAGCACCAGCACCAGCACTTCTGTACACTGGAGGAGCTGTGAGCACCTCGAGTAAGACGATCCCCAAGGCACACGATAATCCCTCTATGAATCCAAAATTTTAATTTGTTTGACTCACCTTCTGTAACTTTTTAAAAGAAGATGCCTTCATGTTTTCTGACAATTTAACTGAAAAATACTATTAATTACATTAAGGAACAAGTAAGAAATAAAGATGCAAAAAGATACTAAACTTTTGAGCTTACACATTTAAAAAAAGAATGCCTAGCTATAAGAAAGAAATTTCCAAGTGGAAAGGCATTCTCTTTAAAATAATTTAAAAAAACAAAACAAAACCCCACAATCAATACTCCCAACCCCCAATCCTACCAGGGAATCTTTATATGTAAAGTGACAGAAGAGCGATACAATCTGGTGGCATTTCTCCAAACGGCCATCACTCCCAGAACTCAAAGGACAGTCATCTCTTCTCGGTGCATCACTTCTGATTATGGACGGATGCACTCCTTATAGATTCTCCGTATGACCCAACTGTAGCCTTGCTATCTCACTAAGAATGAAATTACTTTGATATTTAACTGGCTAGGGAGGAAAGGAGACAATTCCTTAACAAAATCACTGGTTCACCCAATCAGAAAGGATACAAAATCTCTAAGTTGTCCAAATATCTCATCTATTTTCCCGATTTGTTCTTTGTTTTCTAAATACACAGGAGCATTGAAGTAAGGAACCTTGTTTTCTTCTGTGGTACACTTACAAACGATGTCATCTTCACAGGGATGCATGAACTCTCCTAATACTGAAACAGCACAGGAAAACAGACAGGGAACCACTTTAAATACTGACCAAGTGCTGGACGTGCTCTTGGCCACTTGTCTTTCCCCATATCTGATCCCCTCCTATACGGCAGAGCTCAGTTGCCAAAGCAGTAGTCCTAAGTTAGCATGTCACCACCATGGGACCTAGGAGACTCCCTTCTTTCTGTACACTGTAAAATGGGGCTAGTCACACCTAACTGCAGCCACACCCGATACTTAAGCACCAGAACAACAAACGCAGTGCTTACAACACCGATCACTCGCTGTACACCAGTTACTCTGTCATGGCTGTTACGACTGCATTAAATGCTATGTTCCACTGATTTCTTCCTTCTTTTCCCCAGCTTCCAACTATGAACCACTCACTCTGGCTTTGTTGATCGCTCCCTCCTTCCTCAGAACTCATCACTGTCACTTCTTCAGCAATGATTATCCTTTCCCAGGAAGTGTGCAAACACAAAGTACCATTGTTTCTGTAACCTAGCATTAATACCATGTGCCTACAACTAACTCCCTATCCTTAACAACTAGAACCTTCTCTTCTCATTATTACCTAAGTTCTACTTATCATGTTTCTTTTAAATCTCTTCTCCATCCATGTGTCCAATGCAGCCTTCAGGCAGCCTGGAACACAGGGCAACTGTGAATGGGGCCCAACACAAAATGCTACACACACTTATTTAAACCGTGATTTTGCAGGGTGCAAGGGAGCGTGTGTGTGGTGTGTGCTAACTAGGCTGCATGGTTATGAAGTGTGAATTTTGTAGATGATAATGCCGTGTTGCAATATTAAAAAGGTTGGATGTATCTCCTACCTTTCTACTTTCTCTTCCCATCACCTTACTAAAAACAGCTTCCAAAACCTCATATATAACTTACTACAACATCCCCTTCCTTGACTTTAACCACCTTGTTCAGCAAATTCATCCTGCATACAGATCCACTCCTTCCCTCTCCATGACTTCCACCCAATCTCTCTGATAATTTCACAATTACTTTAGTTGGCCATTTCTCTTGCCTTCGCCCAAGCAGACTTCTTTTCATTTCCCCTGCTTTTTGGTAACTGAACGCATGAGATATGGAAGCTAAAAACTTAGCTTTGTATTTCAACTATATCACTAAGAAATCACACTTAATCCTGACTAGTTGTCTGTCCTTTAGAAGGCTACTCAATACTAAGTCTCATCTTTTCAGTCCCAATTAAAGTTCACCTCCACAATGCATGTCGGTTCCCATGATCGGTTCCTTCTATGCTATGATATGACTGTCAGAGCACCCAACCGACTTGCCTTTCAGAGACTTATCATCAAACGTGCTAATAACATAAACCGGACTCTATTCCCAATGCAAAGGAGTTTAAGCTTTGAAGACGACTTACAGACGACTCGTTCTGGAGGCCCTTGATCTTGGAATTTATTAAAGCCTCCACGACCGCCCCCTCGTCCAAATCCTCCTCGGCCGCCGCCCCTGAAATTGCCGCCGCCTCCGCCGCCTCCGCCGCCCCTGAAATTGCCGCCGCCACCGCCACCGCCGCCGCCGCCGCCCCCTCGGAAGTGGTTGTTGCTGCCGCCGCCACGGTTGAAGCCTCCACCTCCACCACCGCGATTAAAGCCTCCGCGACCTCCGCCTCGGAAAGACATGCTCTCTGCGGCCTGGTGAAATAAGACGGCCCGCTCCTTCCGGTCACCTCGGGCTGATCATTTATCTATTCCCCTCCGCCTCGCTCAGGACACCAAAAAGAGGACAGCAGTGAACACCGCCCACACAGCCAGTGGCGAGCGCGGAGAAAGGGCTGTCTTTTCCCAGCCCCGCGACCCATGCCTCGCCACCGCATCCCGCCCTGCTTCTTCCCACACCCTCGCCCCGCGCTGCACTCACCGCGCCACGTGCGTCTCTAGCCTAGCTGGGCGCGCGCGAAGAGGAATACTTCCGGCGCGCTCAAACCACCTCGGCCACCGTACCGGTACAATCTTAACAGACTAGAAACTGGAAGGGCTGATCTACAGGAAGAACCTGTCACTACTGGACGCAGCGGTCCTAATGCCTTCCTGAATAGAGTATACTGCACCGGAAGAGAAACAAGAGCGTTCAGCGTGACCCCGACCTCATCTTCGCAAGCTCCGCCTCGCTAGAGGTAGCGGAAGTGACGCAAATAGCAGCGCCCTCCGAACGCGACGTTTCCGGAAGTGTGACGGGGCGTTGCCCTTGGAGACAGGAGTTGTTTAGGTTCTTCGGTTCTAATAGCTAGTGAGACGTGTCGTCCGTGAGGCGTGCTGGCTGCAGTTGGTGCCACTCGCCGGGCTCTGTCACTTCTTCGGTTGCGAGAAAGTCCCTACCTGACTCTGTTTCACCGAGTGTGGCCACTCGAGCCGTGCTCCGCCAGCACGTCCGAACCTGTCACCGCCAACGGAGTGTGTTGTGTGTCCTGTTATTATTAAATAATATTATTACATAGGAAAAGGTGTGTGTTTGTGTGTGAGCTGACAAAATGGCAACCATCTTTTAATATTTTCTCAATGTATTCATTTCATCGGTTTTGAACACCGAGAGGCTATGCACCAATCTAGCTTAGACCTCACCTCCCATCTCCTTAACACTCATCTCTAACATCGGTTTCCATACATCACTGAAACTTCACTGATAACGAAAGAAGTGACCTCCAGTTCTTAAATTTGGTTGACTTCTTTTGTATCTGTATTGTCTGAAACACCTCTTGGCATTTGAGAATACCACCTTTTATTTGAAAGTAGATCCCCATATCAGAGGGTTATTGTGAATAAATTTTTTGAAAGATCTTTGTAAAAGATATAGAAACATTAAGAATTCCAGTATGCGCCGGGCGGTGGTGGCGCACGCCTTTAATCCCAGCACTTGGGAGGCAGAGGCAGGTGGATTTCTGAGTTCGAGGCCAGCCTGGTCTACAGAGTGAGTTCCAGGATAGCCAGGGCTATACAGGGAAACCCTGTCTCAAAAAACCAAAAAAAAAAAAAAAAAAAAGAATTCCAGTATGCCATTTACCCTAAACTACAAACTTCTCAAAGAAGTATATACAAGTCCCAGATATAAAAAAAAAAAAATTGGGAAGTGTACTTTAAATTTAGGTGTTATAACATTAACATGATATACATATGCTGTTATATTTAGTCTATAATAGATAATATATAGTACTATATAACAATTGTAAATATATATATATATATCTCAACCTCTAACCAAACCTGATGAATTTCTGTTGATTCCTGTGAGGTACCATTGTCATCAGATGAGTTTGGCCCTTTGACACTGCTACCTTTTTCTATTGCCACTTCAAATCACTCAGTGTAGTCTAAGAATTCAGATGCCCAAACATCACAACAGGCAACATCTCCCATTCTGGGCCCCAGACTAAATAAATGTTTGTTGATTTAGCTGCTTTCATCTGGTGATATAGTGAACTTAATAAAATTGCTGTCTTGTACAGTCTCATATCCAGCCCCTCCCCCCAGTAGCCCTGTACTTTCTCTTAGCAGTATGTCTAAAGTCTACTGCTGAAGCCTTCTACAAAATTAGTAATCAGTGTGTGCACATACCATCCCTCTGCCTCAGCAGGCTAGAATTGCTGCTTAGCTTTATCAGTCTTTGTCAGAATCTTCCTCTTTCCTGAAATAGCTCCATTTTCCATCCACTAGAACAACCCCATATTCTGACCATGGAGGAATGCTCTAAATAATTTTACCATTTCCACAGTCCCTGCATAAAATTAACATGCACACATATATATATGCATGAATGCACACACTAACACAATAAACTATATATCACACAATAGTTGCCAAATCTTTTTTAACTATGGGAAAATATACATTATATAAATCATCAGTATTCTTAAATTATTCAGTGCGACTAGGTTCATTCACATGGCTGTGCAATACAGTGCTCTTTTGAATAGAGAGTGATGTTTTCACTGTGAACCTATGGGCTACGGAGATAGCTCAGTGGATAAGAATGCTTGCTATACAAGCAAGAAGGTCAAGGTTAAAATCTCCAGCATGGAAACAAAAGTTGAGCATTGCCCTGGATGCCTTTAACTCAAGCTTATCAAACTTTGAAAGTGAAACTTTCTTAGTTTTTCATATTCCATCATGCCCTGGTTTACTGTCTGTGAGTCTGAGTCCTGGGATGAGTTCCTTTCTTTCATCTTCTTTTTTTTTTATCATCTTTTTTTTATTGGATATTTTATTTACATTTCATATGTTATCCCCTTACCCCATCCCCCACCCACCTGGGAACCCCCCATCCCTTTACCCCTCCACCTTCTTCTCTGTGGATGTAACCCCCACCTACCGCCCCACTCCCACTTCCCCACCCTCAAAATTCCCACCCCCTGGGGCGTCCAGCCTTCATGAGGTCAAGGATCTCATCTTCCACCTGTGCCCGGCAGGGCCCTCTACTCTTACATATTCAGCTGAAGCCCTGGATCCCTCCATAAGTGCTCCCAGGCTGGTGGTTAGGACCCTGGGAGCTGTGGTTGGTTGGTATTGTTGCTCTCCTCATGGTGCCACAAACCCTTTCAGCTCCTTCAGTCCTCACTCTAACTCCTCCATTGAGAACCTCATGATCAGTTCAATGGCTAGTTGTGAGCATCTGCCTCTGAATATGTCAGACTCTTGAAGACCTCTGAGGAGACATCCATATCAGGCCCTTATAGGCATGCACTTCCTGACTTCCACATCAGCATCTACCTTTGGTGACTGCACATGGGATGGATACTCAGGTGGAAAGGTCTTCAAATGGCCCCTCCTTCAGTTTCTGTCCCTCACTTTGTCTCCATATTTGCTCCCTTGAGTATTTTGTTGCTCCTTCTAAGAAGAACTGAATCACCCCCACTTGGTCTTCCTTTTTTATGAGCTTCATGTGGCCTGTGAGTTGCATCTTGGGCATTTCAAGGTTCTGGGCTAATATCCAATAATCAGTGAGTGAATACCATGTGTGTTCTTTTGTGATTGGCTTACTTCACTCAGGATGATAATTTCTAGTTCCATCCATTTACCTAGGAAACTCTCAAATTCATTGTTTTTAATAGCTGAGTAATACTCCATTGTGTAAATATACCATATTTTTTGAATCCATTCCTCAGTTGAAGGACATCTGGGTTCTTTCCAGCTCCTGGCTATTATAAATAAGGCTGCTATGAACATAGTTGAGCATATGTCCTTGTTATATGTTCGAGCATCTTCTGGGTATATGCCTAGGAGTGGTATAGCTGGATCCTCAGGTAATGCTATGTCCAATTTTCTGAGGAACCGCCACACTGATTTCCAAAGTGGTTGCACCATCTTGCAGTCCCACCAACAATGGAGGAGTGTTCCTCTTTCTCCACACCCTCGCCAGCATCTACAATCACCTGAGTTCTTAATCTTAGCCATTCTGACTGGTGTGAGATGGAATCTCAGAGTTGTTTTGATTTGCATTTCCCTGATGACTAAGGACATTGAACATTTCTTTAGGTGCTTCTCGGCCATTCGAGTTTCTTTCATTGAAAATTCTTTGTTAAGCTCTATACCCCATTTTTTAATAGGGTAATTTGGTTGTCTGGTGTCTACTTTCTTGAGTTCTTTGTATATATTGGATATTAGCCCTCTATCAGATGTAGGATTGGTAAAGATCTTTTCCCAATTTGTTGGTTGTCGTTTTGTCCTATTGGCCGTGTCCTTTGCCTTACAGAAACTTTGCAATTTTATGAAGTCCCATTTGTCAATTCTTGATCTTAGAGCATATGCCATTGGTGTTCTGTTCAGGAACTTTTCCCCTGTGCCCAAGTATTCGAGGGTTTTCCCCACCTTCTCTTCTATTAGTTTCAGTGTATCTGGTTTTATGTGGAGGTCCTTTATCCACTTAGACTTGAGCTTTGTACAAGGAGATAAGAATGGATCAATTTTCATTCTTCTACATGTTGTTCTCCAGTTGAACCAGCACCATTTGTTGAAAATGCTGTCCTTTTTCCACTGGACAGTTTTAGCTCCTTTGTCAAAGATCAAGTGACCATAGGAGTGTGTGTTCATTTCTGGATCTTCAATTCTATTCCGTTGATCTTCCTGCCTGTCTCTGTACCAATACCAGGTAGTTTTTTTTATCACTATTGCTCTGTAGTACAGCTTGAGGTCAGGAATGGTGATTCCTCCAGAGGTTCTTTTATTGTTGAGAATAGTTTTCGCTATCCTGGGTTTTTTGTTATTCCATATGAATTTGAGAATTTCCTTTTCTAACTCTGTGAAGAATTGAGTTAGGATTTTAATGGGGATTGCATTGAATCTGTAGATTGCTTTTGGCAAGATGGCCATTTTTATTATATTAATCCTGCCAATCCATGAGCATGGGAGATCTTTCCATCTTCTGAGATCTGCTTCGATTTCTTTCTTCAGGGACTTGAAGTTCTTGTCGTACAGGTCTTTCACTTGCTTGGTTAGATTCACACCAAGGTATTTCATATTATTTGCAACTATTGTGAAGGGTGTCATTTCCCTAATTTCTTTTTCAGTCTGTTTATCTTTCATGTAGAGGAAGGCTACTGATTTGTTTGAGTTGATTTTATAACCAGCCACTTTGCTGAAGTTGTTTATCAGGTTTAGGAGTTCTCTGGTGGAAGTTTGGGGGTCACTTAAGTATACTGTCATATCATCTGCAAATAGCGATATTTTGACTTCTTCCTTTCCTATTTGTATCCCTTTGACTTCTTTTTGTTGTCTAATTGCTCTGGCTAGGACTTCCAGTACTATATTGAATAGGTAGGGGGAGAGTGGGCAGCCTTGTCTAGTCCCTGATCTTAGTGGGATTGCTTCAAGTTTCTCTCCATTTAGCTTGATGTTGGCTACTGGTTTGCTGTAAATTGCTTTTACTATGTTTAGGTATGGGCCTTGAATTCCTGATCTTTCCAAGACTTTTATCATGAAGGGATGTTGAATTTTATCAAATGCTTTCTCAGCATCTAGTGAGATGATCATGTGGTTTTTTTCTTTAAGTTTGTTTATATAGTGGATTACATTGATGGATTTCCGAATATTGAACCATCCCTGCATTCCTGGGATAAAACCTACTTGATCATGATGGATGATTGTTTTGATGTGGTCTTGGATTCGGTTTGCTAGAATTTTATTGAGTATTTTTGC